ATAAAATAATACATATATTTCAAAATTTAGTATAGGGTTAATAGCACCAGCAGTCTTTAAATTTTGATCTAAATTCTATTTTAGTCTTTAAACTTTAAAAACTTCTAATCAGATCTCTAATTGTTTAAAGTTATCGTATTTTGGTCCTTTCATCTATAAAACCATCTAAATCGACGGCAAATGTTAGTAGGCACCACGTGATGATGTCATCTAACATCTCACATGGTAGATAGGAGATAAAAATAGAATCGCTCAAAATTTAGGGACCAAAGATGAAACTATCTCAAAATTTTATATATTTCATATATGTTTTATAAAATATTAAATTTAAAATTATATTTTTATATTTTTTGTTGTAATATTTTTATTTTTAATAGAAAATAGTTTTTAAAAATTAAAATTAATTTGAAAATTCAAAAGTTTTTTAAAACTAAAAATTATTTTCTATTAAAAATATTATTTTACTCATAAATCATAATAAAAATATTATTTTACTCAAAATCATAATAAAAATATTATTTTCTATACATAAAATATATTTTAAAATATTAAATATCTTTTATCCTTTTTCAAATATATTTTAAAAAAAATAAATAAAGGAAAAGATAAGAATAATTCAAGAAAAATTGAATTATATATTTTTTAAATATATTTTATAAAATATTATAATTTAAAATATTTTTTATTTTTTATTATGATATGATTTATCAATAAAATAATATTTTTCATAGAAAATAGATTTTTAAAGAATTAAAATTAAGTAAAAATTTCAAAATAAATTTGTTAAAATTACATATCATTTTAAAAAATTAAGTAAAATTTTTTATATTGGCTTAAGAAATTAAATAAAAACTCTATATCATGTTAAAATATTTTGTAGAAATTTTCAAATCATTTTCAAAAATAGATTTTATTAATCTTTTCAAAAATATAATTTAAAATATTTTTTATTTTTTATTTTTATAAAACATATTTTATAAAATATATTTAAAAAGAAAAAATTAAAAGATATTTAATATTTTAAAAAATAAAATTTTTGGATAAAAATAATATTTTTTGTTATGGCTTATTAATAAAATAATATTTTTAATAAATTTTTTTGTATGTAAAAAATATTAAATTAAAAAAAAAGAATTTGAAAATTTTAACTTAATTTTAAGTTTTGAAGATTTATTTTGTATTTGAAACAAAAATCTATCTAATAAGTTATATTATAACAAAAAATAAACATATATAATTTTAAATTTAATATTTTTATAAGACGTGAATGAAATATAAAAAATTTTGAAATAGTTTCGGCTTTCGTTCCTAAATTTTGAAAAAATTTATTTTGATCCATTATCTGTCATGTAAGATGCTAACTGACATCATCATATAGTGCCAGCTAGGGATGGCATCGGGTCGGGTTCGGGGCGGGTTTTGCTCGCCCCGAACCCGACCCGATTTTTTGCTCATCAAACCTGATCCCGACCCGACAATATGTAAACCGTACCTGATCCGACTCGACCCGAAATTAATAAAATATTATTTTTTAAAATATAAATATTATTTTTTAATATAAATATTAAAAATATATTATAAATAATATAAATAAATAAATAATTAATTAATTAAAAAATAATTTTTTAATAATGTCGGGTCGGGTAGGGTCGGGTTTTAGGCATACCCGAACCCGATCCGACACCGACTATTACCTAAATTTACCCGACTCGACCCCGACCCGAAATTAAAAAAAAACCCGACCCTATAGGGTCAGGTCGGGCCAAAACCCGTCGGGGACGGGCTTGATTGCCGTCCCTAGTGCCAGCTGACATTTGTCGTTAATTTAGAAGGTTCTATAAATGAAAGAGCAAAATATGATAACTTTAGACAATTAAATATTCGATTATAACTTTTTAAAGCTTGGGAATCAAAATAGAATTCGATAAAGTTAGGGACTACAAGTGCTATTAACCTTTTAGTATATTAATAACCATACAACTTTTTCCATTGTGTAACTAAACTTAATTTATTCCAATTCCAAAAAGAATGAGATTGAATTGAAACTTCATTACACTTTTCAAGTTTTTATTCATCAAATGGAAAGAAACTATAATAAGATGCATACACAATAAATTTTACCACAATGGATTTGTTTAGTTAGCATATTAGAATTTGACAAAATTGTGTAGTATTCAATAGCATTACTTGTCAGCTTCAAAGAGTTTCAACTCTTATATATTGATTAGACCTAATAATTCTTTTGTCATCATTTTTAATATCAAGAGATGAAATATTTAATTAGAGCCTCATAAGGTTTCATTCTTTTTCTAAAATAAAAATAGTAAAATTATTTTTTTATTAATTCTAAAATTTATGATTTTTTAATGATAACTATTTTCATCACTATAATTACTAAAATTTTTTAATAAAATCCATTTTTTGTAATTTTTCTTAAAATTTCATTCTCTCCTGTTGCATAAATCTATTTTCAGAAAGTTTTCAACTTTTTAAAATTCTATTTCCAGTAAGTTATAAATTTACTAGATATTGATATTTGGAAATTTCTGAGAAAGGGTAATTAAGTAATTTTACTTAAAAAATTAAGAAAAAAAGGAGGTGAAGAGAAAAAAACAAGGGTGTAAATATAACTCCTCAAAATTTTAAGTTAATTCAATTTTCTATCATTTCAATAGAAAATAATATATTTTTCAATATATATTAACTGTTAAAATTTTATTATTATCAAATGAATAGTTATACATTTTAAATTTACTTGAAATTTGGTAAGCATGATCTACTTGAATATAGCATAAATTTTAAAGATTGGATTAACAAAATATAAATCACATAAAAATATATGAAAAGATGTGAAACTGATTTAGTTTCAAACATGTCTAAGTGGATCCCTTTACATTTTAGGTTTTCATATTTCATTATTTAATAATTTAAAAATAAATTTTTGCAAAAAAAAATATAAATCAACCTTATTTGAAAAAAATTTCATCTTAAACTAATCACTTAAATTTAATTAATGGTAGAGAAAAGAAAAATCACAATTCATTATTACATTAATTTCAATCCTGTATTCCCTGAATTGATGATTTAAAAATTAAATAGATTTTACTAATATTTCACTTCTGTTTTTTTTTTTTTTTATCTTTCATAATAATTTTTTCTTCAATGTTATTATTATTTTAATTTTTTTGGTTTACTTCTTTTTTTTAATTTAGTGAATTTGTTTCTATTTTAATTTTTATTTTAATTAAATAATATGAATATAAATTTTTTTAAAGAGAACCATTTACAATTTAGAAAACTTATGTGTATACATACACATATATATATATATATAGACATATATTTTTTAAGTTTTTGAAAAATAAAAAAACTAATAGTACGAATCACATGCCAAAAAACCTAGAAAATTAAACATTTAACGAGTTTTTTTAATTAAACAAAATCATAAAAACTTCCCTTTGATTCAATTGGGATGTGTGAACCTCCTTCACTAGTTGCTTTAATAAAAGCAATTTTATTTTGTCACATCAACCAAGCAAAGTTTTGGTCCGATCGACACTCTTCCTTTATATCTTTTTTGGTGGTCTTGGAAAACAACTCTTCTTCTTAATTTGCCATATTTACCTTTAGCTCTTTGCTCATGGATAGATGGAGATTTCTTTTGTCAAATGTTCATCTTCAAGCTTCTTTTGTCTAACCATCTTTAATTACATACATGATCGATCATGAAGCCATTGCTGTTGATGTGTTTAAGGCTTGCATTTTGGCTTTCTGACCTTTGTATTTCAATATGATCATTTATGTACATAATTTCTCCCAATCCCTAAATACTCCCATACCTTGATTTGTGTTAAAATTTTAGAAGTCGAAGTTTCATATTTTAATTGCTGAAGTGTCCCGTCAAAAATTCAATATGAAAATTTCTGTAAATTAACTTTTGATCACTTAATTTTTTGACTTTTTTTATTTTCATCATTCAATTTAAAAAAAAAAGACATTTTGATATCAATTATGTACAATCTTCTGTTAAAAGATAACAAATCTTTTTACCTAACATTTTTTTATATCAACATTCTTTGATTAGATGACATACCCGCCACGTCCTAACAAACAAATTTTAGAAAAAAAGGAATTACAGTTTTTAAATTTCAATTTTGTGGCTTTCGCTTTTTAAAATTTCTAACAGGTAAAAATGGACTTCAACACCTTACTCCGGCAATGGAGGGGAGAAGCCTTTTTAAAAGCCTATGTCAAAAACCCACTAAACAATTCCAAAAGTGGAATTGACGTAGAGCTGAAATATACTTGAATTAGGCTAAAAAACTCTAATTCAATTAAATATCAAAGTTAACAGTAATAAAAATATTTTTATAAAGATATTTTGATAATTTTACACTTTCTCTAGTACAATAAAAATTTTAGTATTTTTAAAATTATCAAATTTAATTTTAAACCACTTTAATTTTAATTAAATTATAAAATTTGAAGATTGACTCCAGTTTTATTTATTTTGATCATATTTTATGTAATTTTAATTAGAGTTGATTTTAAAGTTTACTTATTTCATTTATTTTTTATTTTTCATACATTCACGCGAAAAAATATAATTTATATAAATTTCATGTGAAAGAATTTGATATTAACCATACGAGTCTCTTTTTTTTTTGTTTATTAAGCTTAAATATCGATGTATTTTATAAATTTTTTAAAAATTTTTTTAAAGGACTTCAAATGAGTCTGAGTTAATCATATTAAAATATTTCAGATAAAATTTAATATCTACAAGCGACAAAAATCAAACCTATCTAAGCTTATATATATTGATAGGTAAAACAAAATCAACTGTACTGGATTTCATGAGGCCAGCAAACAAAATATTTTTCCCCTTTAATTTTTGTATGGGCCAACTTTATTAGAAAATTTTAGAATTTTAAAGGAATGAAAAAGACGCAATGACGAAAGACAGTATGTCGAATTACAGGCACATACAAATCGGCAGGTTGGCAACAATTGGTGAGGTCTAATTCACCCAAATAACACCTATGCATTAGGATTCATTTTACCAAGTTGACTTTAATCATCCCATTACGTTCCTTTCCCTTTATTTATTCTCCCCACCCATTCTTATTTCCCTTCTCCTTAACTAGAAGAGACTCTTTCTTCTCAGAAACCTCACTCTTTCTTTCTCAGTTTTCTTCTCTTTAAAGCTTAAAAAAAAAAAATGAGTAACATAAGCTTGGTAGAGGCCAAGCTGCCCCCAGGTTTCAGGTTCCACCCTAGAGATGAAGAGCTTGTTTGTGATTATTTGATGAGGAAGGTGGCTTCAACTGATACTTTGCAACTCATGATTGTAGTTGACCTTAACAAGTGCGAGCCATGGGATATTCCCGGTACGTTTACCATACAATTGTCGTTTTTAAATTTCAGAGTCGGGATTCAAACTTAGCTCTTCCAGCACGAAATACATGCATCAATTTCATTGAATCAAATATTCTGGTGCATATTATACATAATTTTGTTCATGAGTTTTAGATGATATTTTAGTTTCCTGCATTCTATGCTTTCTTGTATTTGCTTTGTCCTAAAGCAAAGAGAGAATAGAGATGAGGTGAGGTGATAGCAACTGGACTGGATATAAATGGATATATAATTAAGATGATGTGCATGTTTTCAACTTTTGTGGTGGGAAAAATGTTTAATTCGGAGTATAATTCTCTAATCTGCAGAGAACAGAAATTAAAATTCTTGATAGCTATGAAGTAGATATTTTTGAAAGATATTTACTATTATTATGAATTTTTTGGCATTTTCTACATATAATTCATGACTTTTTTCCTACTACAAATACCAATCGGTCAAAGCATATTAATGACCGCTAAGAATTACCTTCACTTTTAAATTAGCCCTCTAATTATCAAGATTTTACAAGTTTCTTTTCAAATACACCTTTTTTTTTGTGTAAAATGATATACCATATAATGGTAAACTAAATACTATAATTACTTGCATGACTTCTAATTAAAAAATTGTCAACTTGCTTAATTTACTCTGATAACGGTTTTACTCTGAACCCTAAATTTCATACTTTTGATAATCTTTTTCCCATATATATCCAGCTTTTACTACATGCTTGAAATATATATATATATATATATATATGTATTGAAAATGGCTAGGATTATGAAGACAAATAATTATACACAAGTGTAAAGCAATTAGCACCTCTAAGCAATTTTTTTTTTTTTTTTACAATTGAAGTTTAAACTCAATATCTTTAGTTTTGGAATTGAATCCAACATTATTGTACTAATGGCTCATCCATAACCTTACTTTAATAATAATAATAATAATAGATTGGTATATATCTGACCTGAAAAATGAATATGTACAAACCGTAGGGTCTAAATCCAATTCATATTGAGCTGTTTTGAAAGGGCTGGAATTTATAAATTAATTAATATTCTAAAATTATTATTATTTATAAAATGTTATCCAACAATTTCATATTCTAAGGCTTTTTTAATGAAATTGACAGTCTTGGCGTTGTCCCAACCAAAAGCAGTGACAGTGATTGAGATAATAACAATGAAAAACTCTGAAACTCACAAAAGAAGTAATCTCATCCCCTAGTTCCTATAAGGTCTTTCAAGGAATTGGATTACTTCCTTTTCTTCTGACCAAATCCAACACACCCTGTTTCAATCTCATCAATTGTTCAGAATCCCATTTCTTTTTTCAAACTAATATTATTTTATTTTATAAATAAATAGAAAACAGTGGTGGAAATTAATTTTCAATTTTTTTTCCTAAACGTTCAAAACTTTGGCATTTCACTTCACACATACCACACGTGTAAGCAAAGCAACCATTTTGTCTTTTGGCAAATTACCATTATTATCTTCAATAATTCTCCATTAAGGGACAGAAATTGACCTCTCAACTGCAAAATTATTTGATAGGGTCAGCTAAGCTACAGTTGGTAAGCAACAAACTCTTTTGACCCTTATAATTTGGACTGCCACGTGTTTATGACCCAATTAGCCTTGATAAATATTTCGACGTCACCATTGTTATTTATATATTTTTTATTTTATACAGTTATTTCTTTTTATATATAAAGTTATTAAATTTTGAACTTTAATTCCTGTGACAAAGAATTTGCTACTTTAACAGCAGTTCACTAATGATGGATTTTATACACGTATTATAAACCTAAAGAATATTTAAATTTCAATGAGACCAAAAAAAAATATACCAAGGAAATTTCTTTAAGTAATCCAATTGAAAAGGTAAACGAAAAGAAAATATCATAAATATTAATCATCAAATGTCATTAACTAATGATCACAACTGTTCCATTAAAGATATATTAATATATTTCCATGGTTAAATCATTACTAGAAAAAGAAAATTAGAAGTTAGAATTATTAGGCTTTGGATACATATTCACTTTCTTTTTTGGGTATTATTTTTCTAACTTGACCAAAAGGGATTATGTTATGAATAAGTCCTTTTTATTACTTCATTTTATTTAGGTCCAACAAAATAAAATTCAAAGTGATATTTTTTATGATCATCCAACTTCAAAATTATCCATTTGAGTGAAATTATTCAAACCAAAAAAGGGCTTCAAAGAAAGTGAGTGATGACCAAGTATTATTGCATATAAAGATAAAAATATGAAGTCAAGAGGTTATATTAGTTTCAATTTCTATCCATGTGAATCATGAAAGTCCACAAATTTTACACACAAAACAAAAGATAAAGCTGACTGGCAAATTTATATTATATATAATAATGCTAAAATTTTCTATATTGACTTTGTTTCATATTTTTATCATTTATAAGCATTTTGTTAATAATTCTTAGGATATACCTAACTCTATATTTATATGTTTTTGAAAATATATGGTAGAAACGGCTCGAGTGGGAGGCAAAGAATGGTATTTTTACAGTCAAAGAGACCGAAAATATGCAACAGGATTAAGAACAAATAGAGCAACAGCCTCTGGGTACTGGAAGGCCACGGGGAAAGACAGGGCTGTCCTTAGCAAAGGCACCCTTGTTGGGATGAGGAAAACCTTGGTGTTCTACCAAGGTAGGGCTCCCAAAGGAAGAAAAACTGATTGGGTCATGCATGAATTCAGGCTTGAAGGACCCCTTTCCCCTCCCAAGCTTTCTACTCTCAAGGTATATTTTATATATCACCACTTTTTATTCCATGAAGAAAATCTAAATTCAATTTTTACAAAATCGTTTTTACATTGAATCAAATTTAGGATCAATAAATATGATCGTTTAAAAAAATTATCAACAATTATATAATTTATTAATAGAATATTAGATTCTTAATTTAATGATCAAATTTATTTTCTAATAATCTTAAATAAAATAAATTAATCAAATTTAAAATGAAAGAATCATTTTCAACTTTCAAGTCGTTTTCTATAAAGTCCTTAAGTTTTTGCATGAATCTTGGGACATGTTGCAATATAAAAGTATTGATGATAAAAATATTCAAAGTCAGATCTCTATATGATTTTCTGTAATCCATAGACAAATTACATTTGTCATCTATCCTATACCGCGTATTAGTATAAGAATTTTTAAATATTGCCACAAGCCGGCTCACTTTTTTATTTGATTTTGTCTTTTAGGTGGCTAAAAAAAAATTGCCCTTTGTGTTTCAACTTCAAATAAAATAACTCTAGCACATGAGTAAATTTATTAGAAAGGTACTTATATAGTATTGAATTTGTAACTATATTATATTAAGATGTCAAATTAATATGTTGAACTTCAATTATACTTTTAATTTTGTCATCAACTTTTATTTTGGATCAAATTTGAGTTAAAGAAACAAATTTAAATATTTTCATCCAAGTTATGTTCTTATATTTACGATAATTTATTGTTTAAATTTGATGATACAATATTTTTTATCATTTTGGAGCATGTAGGAGGATTGGGTTTTATGTCGAGTGCTCCACAAAAACAGAGAAATTACTGCCAAACAAAGTAGCATGGGAAGCTGTTATGATGACACAGGCTCTTCATCTCTTCCACCATTGATGGATTCTTACATTATTTTTGACCAAAATCAACCAAATTTAGATGATTATGATGAGCAAGTGTCCTGCTTCTCCATGCTGTCCCAAAACCAAACCAACCCAATTTTCCCAGACATCACCCACATGGAACCAAACGCACCTATCAAAACCCAAACAGCTGTTGGACAAATACCAATGAATGTTGCTTGTTTGGATTCTTTCCCTTGTGACAAGAATGTGATAAAAGCTGTGCTGAATCATCTTACGAAGCTGGATACTTATCTTAACGTGAAGGAATCACCAAGTTTTGGAGAAGGAAGCTCAGATCAGAGCTACTTATCTGAAGTGGGCATGCCCAACATTTGGAATTAATCATAATTAATAATAAATATATAGTTAGGATTTTCAAATCTAAGTCCTTCAGAAATATTATTGTTGTAAAATATATGCAAATTTGGGGTTATATGATCATCAATTTCCCCTTCCTTATAGCATCATGCACTTGTTTCCATTTTCCAACATTAGGATTAGGGTAACTCTTATAAAGTGTAAAATTGTAATTGATTAAAGTGGAGTATCAAAACATTAAAGTTTCTTTGGGTCAATTAATGTATAATTGTGGAAAGTTCATATTGTTGTATATATAAAGTTTTATATGAAGTGGGAATTTCACTCTTGCTTCTTTTAAGAGTATGAAATTAAATTTAAATATTAATATCTTATGTTAAGAAATCAAATAATAATTTTATTAAAAAAATACATATATACAATTAAATAAATAATAAAAAATATATTTTCATATATACTATAGACATCCTATTTTGTCTGGAGTTCTTTGTCAATCGAGATTAATTTAAGCTCGGTTGTAAGAATTTTTATTCATTTTTATTTTAGATTTTTTATTTCATATTTATCATTTTTTATTTTTATTTTATGGTCTATCTATTGTTTATTTTCTTTTCCTTTCTCCATTATCAGATTAATTTTTTTTTTTTTAAAAAAGAAAAGCTGAAAGAATGAGATTAGACTTGGTGACGATTGTTATCAAAAAATATTAGAGATGCTAATCTTTAGCTTTGGATGATAATCAAAATTGAACTGAAACACAATCACTTGGTTTTATATATCATTACAATTCATAGCCATAAAGGACAAGGGGGGCACTCAAAAAAGGGCAGAGGATTGTGGATTCGCCATCTTCACTTTCTGAAGAGCCATTGGTGCCTTACAATGATGATGAAGATGATGAAAGGAGGGCACTGAGTCACATCGGTGGTGGAGAAGAAGATGGTCACAGATTTGAAATTGAAGAAAATGACGATGATGATGATGATTCATGTGGGCAAAGGTCAGTTCTAGAAGAAACAAATCGCCAGGTTAAAGTACGAAAAGACTGCCCTTACCATGATACTATTAATCACCAGGTGCTGGATTTTGATTTTGAGAAGTCTTGTTCGGTCTCTTTGTCGAATTTGAATGTGCATGTGCGTCTGGTCTGTGAGAAGTATTACCAAGGAAAAGGGAACAAGTTCCGTGCTTACACTCATAGTCTAGAAGCAGGACATCATGTCCACATCAATCTTCGAACAGAGAAGGTGTATTGTTTCTCTGATGGGTATGAAATTAATGACCCATCATTAGATGATGTACGCCATGTTCTTAACCCAGGGTTTTCCAGAGAACAAGTTGAACAATTTGACAAGGCCAAGCAATGGTCTAGAGCACTTGATGGTTCAGATTACCTTCCAGGAATGTTTCCGGCAGTCTTTCCTAGTTTTCGGTGAAGCATTCAACCGAAAATCTGGAATTCTAGAGAGAGTGGGGGGAAGGAAGAAAAAAGAGAAAACTTTCTTCCCGGCTTCCCACTTCGCTGGGCCTTTCTGCCCCAAGCTGCCGACAACCGCCTCTCCTCTTACCTAGTGACCACATCTGGTGTTGGCGCTGCCACACTCCTCTCTTCTTTTTTCTCCACGTGTCTCTATTCCCTCCAATGTCTCTTTCTTTCACTGTGAGTTGCAGCCATGTACGAAAAGGATGAAGTATCAGCTATAGTGATAGACCTAAGGTCTCACACTTACAAAGCTGGTTTTGCTGACGAAGATGTTTCCAAAGCTGTGTTTCTTTCTGTTGTGGGATCCATTGACCAAATGGATGCCGCTAGTGATGACAACGAACTGATTGGACTAAAATGCATTATGGCTCAAGACATCTATGATGAAACAAAGTGATTCACCTGAGAAACACAAGTATTGCTGTGTTCTTTGAGGAGCTAAATTCTATTATCAAATCAGGGGATGTCGCATATCTTGATCTAAAAAAACACAAAGTCAAGCATCAACTTGTTCTAGAGAAATTAAATTCTATCCCAAAGTCAGGGAATGTCCAGCATCTCTATCCAGCAATAAAGAGAAAACAGTGGATGACGTCGGATCGGTAGTCGAAGCTATATCCACTGATGATGAAGATGCTACTCCCTTTCATCAAATAGAAAGCCTCTGCATATGCTGCACCCAAAATGGAACAACAAGGCTTCTATTGACTTCAATTCCACACGTTAGGAAGATGCCTGTGCTCTCAGTGTTTTGAATGCCTACATTGTGATCAGATTTCTCAACTCTCCTGACCCAATCATTCGCAGCATCAATCTATGATCGAACTCCAGAACAACAAGCATCTTTTGGGCTATTTGTTCCTATCAGAGTTTGAATGGAGCTTGGCTGCTGGAGCTTCTGAGGAAACAATAAATGATAAACAACCAATGGGATCAGTGGAGCAGTAGCTGGTCAAAAGGGCATTTGCCCAGAGTAATAGTGTTGAAATTGACTTGAGGCTCTCTGCCGATTCTCTGCACCAGAAAAACTGAGTCGTGCACACCGAGCCACACTTTTTAGCTGCATTTGTCTTTGGAGCTGCATCCTTGTTGAAGCATTGAGCCGAGTTACGCTAAAGGTTTTTTTTTTATTAGTTTATTATTTATGTATTTATTTATTCTTATTTATTAATTAAATTGAAATAATTTATTCACTCAATTAAATTTTTTTAAAATTTTCAATGATCTTTTCAAAAATAAAAATTTTAAAAATATATATTTTTAAGGAAAAGTTAAAAGTTTCAATTTTCCTTGAAAATAATTTTCTAAAAAATATTTTTTAGAAAAAATTGAAAGTTGAAAGTATCAATTTTTCTCGAAGTTAAAGTTTCAAAAAATATATTTTGGAGAAAAGTTGAAAGTATCAATTTTTCTTGTACGAAAGCAATGATTTTTTGAAGAGAAAAATATTTATACCTAAAGCTGAATCATTTTTTTCTTTCCTTTTTTCGTTTTATTTCTTTTCCTTTTTGTTTCTTGAATTTTCTTTAATGATAAATAATCCCACGATAGAGCCTCTGCAAGTGAAACAGTAGTCTCCTTGCATACTCTTGAGGTGAAGAAATTTTTTCAATTTTCTGCTAAAAGTATTAGAGTCAATTGAAAATAATTTTCAATAATTAATTACTTGGTAAATTTTTAAGGCATATTGGATAACACAAAATTAAGCTGGTACCATCTTTCGATGGCCGTTGTGAGGGTGCTACAACCTTCCTCACACGTAACTGTACCCCGAACCCTGTTCTGGTTTGTAGACATGAACCTATTCTTTTAGGGACCCTTAGGCTTAGGTGTTTTTCAAAAGGATAGATTCCTTAAGTGGCCAATCGCACCTAGATAAAAAAAGATTGGTGGGGACTCCTTTAAGTCAATATCTAGCGATAGATCCCCGAATCTAGACGTTATGACATATACACCAAGGTAACTTGGATAGATCATCTTAAATCCATTTCACACTCATCTCCATTTTCCTAAAAAAATCGACCCAATTCAACTCAAAATCGGCTCAAGATCAATTTTTTTTTTTTTTTTTATCAATAACAACTACTAGATGAAGGTTGAGTTTTTTCTTATGTTAGTTACTAATTTGAATAAACTTAAATTGAAGTTCTAATTTTTTTAGTAAAAAGCTTCTATTTTTTTTTTTATAAACAACAATCTCTTTTTTTATTTATTCCAATTCAAAATAATAATAATAAAAAAGCAGCAAGCAAATGAAGTCTTAATTATTTTTCAAAATTTTCAATATTTTTAATTCAAAATTTCTTATTTTGGACAAGTCAAAATTTCACTGACTTTCCTTGGGCAAAAATAAAAAGAGTTAATTGGATCTTTACGAGAAGAAGTTAATGCTAATAAATAAAAAAACTCACATCATTAAAAAATTTGTGGTTATAAACTGATTACAATCAATTTTTGAAACAGAAATGTAACGAATTAGTTTTATCTTTCAATCTCATTCCTTCTTTGTTGTGATCACCTATAAATAAATCCTTTTCTTGCCAGGAAATGTCGTGGGAAAAAACATTTTTCCAACCAAAAGTAAAGTAGACAGATCCTCATCAACCCTAATGGCAAGCTTCAATGTTTATTTTGGCTTGATGGTTTTGTTCGTAATGGGCGGAGTAATCATAGCTACCGAGGAGGCTGACATTATCAAGAAATATGATTGTGAAAATAAAACAAAATGAGTCTAAATTGTTATTTGGAGGTTTCCACGAGTATCTTCAAAACCCGGAAGTGTTTACTCGGATAAATGTTGTGGAAAATTACTGGTATTAGTAAACATTTGCCATGCTGGGCATTAGTAAAGGGACTCTTCTAACTTCCTCAATTTAAGAATATTGAAGAATCGACGATTGTGACAAAGAGTGTTCAGACTTGGAACAAATGCGCTCTAATCAATAAGAGTGTTTCACCCTCTCCCTAAAGAATGGAGTTATTCATTCAATAAAAAAAGTTTATAGAACAATAATAAGACACAAGTTTTTGTATGAACATTGTTTATCAATTTTCAATAAACATTGTAACTTGTAATTTTTATATTGCAAATCTTGCATTATTTGAAGAATGGAATATAAAAATTACAGAAAGATTGAATTAAAACATTGTTTTATTTACATTATTTATAAAAAATAGATATAATGATTGTTAGCAATAATAATCCTCCTACTCAAAAGTTTTTCTTTAATTTACTTTTAACCTTTAGGTATCTATTAATTTTTTCCATTGAGTCTCCAGTTTAGTTTACTGGTGATTTCCCCGTTGAAGAAAATATGATACAATATTCAAGTTCTAAAAGTTATTATTATTTTTTTTTATAAAAAAAATCATAATTTAGAATAGAAAAAGAGTTTACAGGTATTGAAATTTGAATTTTAAAAATATTGTACTAAAATTTAATCTTCAAATCAATATTTGCAAAGAGAATTAAGAAACCTAAAGATCTCATTAGAATCTAATGAAGGGTAAAGCTCTTGAATCCATTATATAATATATCCATTGATTTTATATGGAAAATTTTGTAATAGTTCAAGTACCAATTATATAATTAATCCGATCTAATAATAATAATTTTTGTTATAAAAACAAGTAAATATATATATATATATTTAAATTGAACACATAAATGCATTCACGATTGAGAATTAGAAATTTGAAAGTATACATTGAAAGCTTGTTCTTTTAAATTATCTATATGTATAATAGAACTTGCTTAAGCTTAATTGAGTTTAATTTGGTTGACATTTTAATCGACTCAAGATTAAATTGGGATAGATTTACATCTATA